ATATATATAAAATATATAAAAAATGCCATGTGGCTACTCAAATTAAAGCTCTTGATGAGTGTAACATCGGGATGAGCTTATATCTTTAAAAATGTCAATAGTTAAGAAAGTACAGTAAAATTTAAATAATTTTAAAAAAATTACTTGAAGTAAGTCTTTGCCTCTGGTTGGGAGTTTTGGAGTAACTTGGGCTAACCCTTGTGTAAGATGGTACTGGGGAAAAGCTTTATAATCTGGAAGAGTAGTGAGGTCTGGCCACGTTTCCTCAGTAGGTGTACCCAACATTTTGAATATTCTTTTCAGCTGATCGTCGACGTCCGATCCGGGGAACAAGGGTCGTCCTGCGTTTGCTAATTCTGTAAATTAATTTAATTAAAGTTATAATGATAATTGACGTAGATGTTGACCCAGATTTTGAAAGCAAGTTGGTCAAGTACCAGCGAATATGCATCCCGCGCTCCACATGTCTATTGACGTCGTGTAAAGTTTAGCTCCAAATAATACGTCGGGTGGACGGTACCATAACGTCACAACTTCTGCAGAGTAACACTTAACTGGAATGCCGAATGCCCTTGCCAATCCGAAATCCGCAAGTTTCAGCTCACCATTCTTGTTGATGAGCAAATTTTGTGGCTTGAGGTCTCTATGTAACACATTTTTACTATGACAGAATGCTAGTCCACGTAATAATTGGTATCTGTGGAAAATAGTTATTAATTAGTGATAGTAATAATTATCTTAAATAAAATGAATTAATGGTCATCAAATAATTAAGATTTGTAGAAAAAATCAATCAATTTTTATATAATAAAATTTTTAAAAAATTTGATTTATAAAATATCAAAATCTTCAATTTAATTTCTTTGAACATTTAATTAACATACAAAAAATAAATTTTTTTTTTTTTTTTTCAAAAAAGAAATGACATTTTAATAATAAACATTTGTAATGGTTTATGAGTGCAAATTATTAATTATCTTTTTAAATTAATTTATATATAGAATAAAAAAAAATACTGTCCGCTCGTTTTGATGATACTGAAATTGAGAAACATCTTATAATTTTTCGAAATTTTTTAGCTAATTTTTAAGAGCTCTAAAAAAATTTTAAATGAAATTTTTAGAAATTATTTAAAAAAAAAAAATTGTTAAATGTCTATTAAATTCAGTGTCATTTGCTTTGAGATAATTGATTTTTTTTCCACTTGAAAAAATCTAATCAGCTGTTTATTTTTTTTTTTTTATAATTAAGAAAAAAAAAAGGTAAAATACTCACAAGAATGATTTGACAACATCTAAATCAATTTCACCATTTAGGCTATCAAAATATTTTTTAAGGTCCTGATCACAATGTTCAAATACTAGAGTTAATTTTTTATCACTGTGAAGTACATCATAAAGTCGTACTATATTTTTGTGTTTAAGCTCTTTGAGCAAACAAATTTCACGTAATGCCGAGGACGGTACACCCTGTCAATAAATTACACCAGTAGTAAAAAACGTCAATAAATCATTATAAATAAAGTTATAAATAACAATCTAAAAAATAGTAAACATTAATTACCTCGTCGTCATCGTCCAAGCGTACACGTTTCAAGGCAACAATCTCATGAGTCTCCCGGTTTTTAGCTTTGAAAACGGTCCCGTAAGTGCCTGAAACAAACACATTTATTTATTTATTAATCACAGAAACTAAACAAACAAATAAGCCAATAAAATTGCTGTACATCATACTGAATAACTACCGAACAAACATCAAGGACACCTGAGGGATCCGGGGTAGTAAACAATAGGAAAGTGGACGACACTTGATAGATTGGTATGCACACTGACAGTATTTGGGTGCCAAAAAGAGTTATTGCTTGTTTAATTAGACTTACCTTCTCCTATTTTCTCAAGTTTTTCATATTTTTGCATATTTCAAAGCGTTCCACGGGTGCGGAACACACGCACAGTGGTTAGCGCTGCTCTGCTGTGGCAGAGGTTAAAACTAACTCGAAACTCGAATCATCTGACATTGGCTGTCAACTGCAACTGCGACTTTTCAAGCAGCGGGAATGCATTAAAATTTTTTAATGTTTTTATTTATAACCTAATTATTTTTTTATTTATCACTTTTTATGTTTTTGATGGATTTTTTTTTTTTAATGCATGTTAAATTATAAACGTCATGTATACAAGCTTATTTTTTAACAGTATCGTACTGATGCTCATTAATTTTGGTATTGCATGTTATTTTGGTCGTAAAGTAAGTTTATAGTATATTTATGAGTAATTATTATCATTAAACTTTTTATGACATTAAAGTTAGCAGTCACTAGAGAATTTTTTCACAAACAAATTTGTTAAAAAAAAATATTTTTAAAAAATTGCATTTTTTATTTTTTAAAATTTTTACATGTCAATTTTTTTTTCTAATTTTTTTGCCATAATTTATTTTAGAAAAAAATTATTAAATATCTGCTAAATTTATTTTCATAAACCTTTTTAATGGAAATAAAGTTAGCCGACATTTAAAACTTTTTATCATTTTTTTTTATTAAAGAATTATTACAAAAAAAATTTTTTCATTTGTTAAAAACTTCAAAAACTATAAGTGCAATTTTTTAAAAATATTTTTAAGTAATAAATTTCAATAAATTAAGCAAAATAAAAAAATCAAAAATATTATTATTTTTTAATTAATTTATTTTTGTTTCAGTTTTTTCGGGTCATGAAAAATCATTATCAGCTGGTATCTGAAATTGCTGAATTTAATTCAATAGTAAGTTTTAGATTTTTTTTTAGATAAAAAATTTTCAATATGTCAAGTTTTATATAATTAAAATTAAAAAAGAAAATTTTTTTTTTAATTTTCACAATTTAAAAAAAATTTTTTTTTAATTAAAATTTATTTGTTAAAAAAAAACCCAAAATTGATGAGATGTCTGCTGATTTAAGTGTTATAAAATTCTTTAATAATTGCTTCGCTGTAAAAAGTTGATGAAGAATTTTTAATAATATAGTTTTTGAAATTCATAAATGCTTAAAGCTTGAATTTTTAATTAAAAACTTATTTGGAGGATAAAAAAATGTAATAAAATTGATAAAAACTATTCTTATAGATAATCAAACTTTATACTTTCTTAAAAAAAATTTATTACTTTTGCTCTACGCCAAACAAATTTTTAAAAGTTATAAATATAATTTTAAATATCTTCATTAATTTCTCAGGTACGCGAATCAAGGCTGAATTTAGATTTCACGACAAAAAAAGTATCGGAAGCAATAAGAGAAGTAAAAACCCTTGACTTACTTGTCATAACTAATTAATAAGATTTTTAATTTAAATTCATTGTTGAAAGATTGAGAATGACATCAACGAAGAGCTGGAACTCACCCACGATCTAACGGAGCTGAATGAAAAAATGTCTGGACTTTTGAAACATTTTTCCGCTGTCGAAGAAAAAGTTATCGAAGTAATTCTAAAAGAAATCCCTTGCCAATTGAATGTCATATTTTATCATCGTTAATTATTAATAATTATAATTATAATGACTTATACAAATAGCTGGTGAGAACGAATTACAATATGGAAAGCGTGATGATTTCGACGCCCGTCGACATAAATCACGAGGTGAAGAGAGTGCTGAGGAAAAAAAAGAAGCTCGAGATGGGAAAAATCGAGGAGCACAAAAGTCTTGGAAATTTAGACTGCGTGACTGGATAGTTACGTTTGAGATAACATTTTTTAATTGACATTTTATTTTTCATCCATTTCTACAATAACTTACAATTAACAATAATAAACAACAGAGATATTAAAACATCACGTAAGACATCAACATAAAATTCATGTAAGCGATTATTTATATTTTTTTTTATCTGCAAATAATTTGGCATGCCTACATCAGAACATGAAACAGCAAAATTTTTTTATTTTTAATTTTTATTTTAATTTTAAACTTTCTCCAAAAATTCAATTTTATTTTTACATTACACATTTAGTCAGTACAGACAAATATCATTGAAAACTTAAACAATTTTTGAGTTATTTTTTATAATAAGTTACATATGTATTTTTTTTTTTTTTTTTTTTTTTTTTTTTTTTTTTTAATTTAGACTTTTCTTCACTTAGATATTTTTGAAAATAGATATTCTTAATAATAAACCTTAAAACTATACATTATTATTTATCAATAGATCCAACAATGATAGAGTTCAGTCATAAAAATAAATACTTTGAGAATTATTAGACTACAATCGTAGTCAAGTAAAAAATAAATATCAAACTTTTACAATAATAAGTCATAAGTCATAAGCGATTATAACTTTTAAGTTTGTCAGTGATGTAGAGCGTAGTGATTAGAAGTGTATATTGATTTAAGTACAATAGAATGTTTAGTTCTTTCGAGAGCTTAATGTTGTCTGCCGGAAAAATAAGCGTTTGCGATGCGTCTTTTCACGAAACTGTCCCATCCAGAGCGATCTATTTCATCAAAATTGCGCTTCACAAAGTTGTCAAATCCTGTACGATCAATCTCGTCCATGTTGCGTTTCAATGCTCCCTCATATATTTCCACCCCGTTGACGGTGTTTGGCCATCCAGATTTTCTGAGTTGATAAAAATAATTATTTTATATCGTGTATGAGTATTGATGTTTTTAAATTATAAAATTTGTTAATTATGTTCCTTAAAATCCAAGGAAATCCTTTTAATGGAAATCTGGTTCTAATTTTTTATCTAACTCGATTTATGAATAATTCAAACCAATAATTTCACAAGAAAATCACTGCAAGAATTAATTCGGTGATAAATATTTCTGTGGAAAATATCCCCTACAAAAGCAACCCCAATAGAAATATCACGAATCATGCAAGATTGATATGATCGCATTTCAAGTAAATAATAGACTTGTGATCTTATAATTTCTCAAATATAATGACTCAATAGGAAAATTTTTCATGCAATGACTTGATTTATTCGATAGTTAAATTACTCAAAGTGAAGAATTACTGGATCAAAAAGAAGAAGTTATAGCTCATCAATATCTGCAGCAGCTTCGAATTTGCGCCTGCCAACATAATGTTGAGGCGCAAAAGGTTACTGAAAACTACTAAGTCTTCGAAAAGCTATGTGGTGAATAGACCTCATGACAGAATAGTAAACCTGGTGAATAAATTAAATGGCGAAGTGGAATTTTACGGTGGTACCTTCAGTGCTTTTATGTCAAACATTAAAAGACAGTTGCTTATGTACACATAAACTACACAAAGTTTTCTTTTTCTCGTTCTTTGCTTCAATTTAAATCATAATTTAATTTCTTTAATTTATGTTATTTAATTTTAAATAATTTCTTTATGTATATTGCCGATAGGCGTATGTTAATAAATAAATAAATAAATAAATAAATATCAAGGCCAATAAAAAAAAATAATACAGTGGATTCTTGATAACTCAAACTTTGTTAAGTCGAAATCTTCAGTAACTTAAAAAAAATTTGTATTCCCTTCCGCTGAACTCTTAAATTCGCGATATCGCGAATTATTTAGACTCTGTAACTCGAACTTAGTATTGTTTCCCTTCCAGTATCCAAGCTTATAGCAATCAAATCTAAATTCCTATAAGAATTTTCAATGCTTCTTATATATTCTTGTTTGCAATGTATATTTTCTCTCTAAGTTATTTTCTTGCAAGTCAAGTGTTTTCTTAATTTTTTTGGTCTATTTCCAAATTTTGAACATCTTGTTAAGTCGGAAAGTTTTTATCGCTTCCCTTGAAGCTTAAGGTTATCGAGAGTCCACTGTAATAATATTGCAGGAACAAAGAAGAAATCAATAAGACCCGGAAAATTTTTGCTTGAATTTTTTTCACAGGGATATTATTAACTGATCGTTATTTTTCCGTCAAATTATTCATTTGAAAGCGATTGATCAAAAGAAGAAAAAATTCATATGATATAAATTTTTGAGACTCCCACTGTAAGCCTATTTGTATAGGCTTACACCCTTTTGGCATTAGACCGGTAAAACCGGCATTATAATATATAATAGAGAATATCTATCAAAGGTCTCAAAGCAAACTACCAGGTAACATATCATTCGGACGCGATACTGTCAGTTTTCAAATATACAATCATATCACCGTCATATCGCATTCGCGTATTTCGATATATTTCAACAAAACAGTATATCCGTGTTTTGTGACGGTTCGCAACGTACAAATACACATCCAATATGATGCGGTTCTCTTTGACAGATATCAACATCGTACATGCCCTATTACACCTAACGGTAATACAATAATATTCTCGTAAAATGCGTCATATCCAACTACCTTTTTTTGGTTCATATTCTATCATATTCACGCGTTATTTTGTTCTCAGATAAATTATTATTTTTAATATATTACACACAAAAAACTGAGTTGAGTTTCCATCAGCAATATTATATTTATATTATATATAATTAATAATAATAATAATAATAATAATAATAATAATAATAATAATAATAATAATAATAATAGCCGATTGGCATTTGTGTATTGAATAAATAAAAAAAAAAAACAGATTTCTTGCGCCAAAAAAATTTTAAGAAAAACTAAAGTTATTTTGGGGCAAGAAAAAATTTTGTTGGTTCAAGAAACTTTGACTTCATTCAAGAAATTTTCAACCTTTTTTAATATTTTCTTGAGCCAAGAAAATTTATACTTCAGTTAAGAATTTTTTTTTTCAGTGCACGTTCATTATAAGCGACATTAAACTCATAAAAAAATCTCTTTGTCCGAGGATTAAAAACGGATGAAAATACACAACGGAACTTTATAAGAAAAACAGTAATGTTACTTTTACCGTAAGTAGCAATCTTTTTCAAACTTATACCAAACACGCTACCTAATAATTAATATATATATTCATATAATACACGTATATTATAATACTTTTTTTCCAAGAGCATTAATTAACTTGAATATTAAATCAAGAACTTTTTTTTACAGACAATTTCTATAGAATAAAGAAATTAATGTTTAGTTATTTAGTAAAATGAAAAGTTTTATTTTTAAAAAGAAACTTTTGAAGAATATTCGCATTTATTTCTTCTGTGGATTATAAATACGAGTATTTAAGAGAATTATCGATAAATCTGGCTTTGATTTACCAACTTTACCATTTTATAAAACGGTAATAATGAAGATTAATAAAAGAAGTATCGTGCTGTAATCCCCAATAACTTTTTTCTCTGTTTAAGCGATGTATTTATAGCCGAAACCACTTTTGTCCGCGATAAAATAAAAATAATATCTTAGTAACTTCTACGACGCTTGTTACGACCATCATTATTGTTGTTATTATCATTACTATTATTATATTAATTATTATTATTGTTTTTATGGCATTAAGTAGCGAAGGCTCCTTAGTATTTTCTCAGTTACCTTGAACACGTGGCAAAGTCAATAGTGTGTCGGTTCATCGATTATGTAGGTACTATAATTAGAAGAAATGTAGCTTATGCCTGATATGTGTCCCCGATGTTACAATTATTAACAATACTAAGTGAGATATTAAGTTTGCATACGATACAAATATTTTTACGATCAACTTCTGCCTGCCCACGCGTTATCGCAGTATTTAATAATAAATAAATAAATGAATTAACAGACTCGTGAGTCTATATTGATATAATCGAGGAAATGTTGTCGCTATTATCATCACTATGTGTACTCATATCTCTGTTATTTAGCGATTGTCTAGTTGATTATTACGTGCAAGCATACTATTTATTCATGCGTTAAAACAATTATAACTAACGAGCTTTTACTGGAGTAATTATCAAGCGAAATTATTTATTATTCACAGTTTTTATTTTAGAGTCAGATAAAAATTTTATTGCAATCATTTATGTTTATTAAATTTTAATATTGTAAGAGGTATTTAATTTTAAAAAATTTAATTACTTTCAATTGAACTGTAGATGCATTTTTTTTTTTTTTTTTTTTTTAGTAATTAGCGTATATTGTGTTGGAAAAAATTTTAAAGTTAGATGTTAGATGACTTCAGCATCAAAACAATTTACTAGAAATTCTTACTCTTCAATAGAAATTCTTAAATCAAGTTAAATACACTTAAAACTAAGAGCAATTCCTTGGTCTAAAATGTTGTCTCGTGAATCAAATTAATTTTTTTATCACTACATAAAAAAAATAAAAGAAAAAAAAAACGTGATTTAGTAGAATTGAAAATTTGACAACTAGAAATTTTTTAAAGATGAATAATATATTTACACTAGAATCTATGAATTATAAAAAAATTTTATATATTAAGTTTAAATTATGTCAACTTTAAAATTTGTAACTTTATTTCTTATTTTTTAGATGAAGCTGAGATTGAATGTGCCAAGTTGTCATATTTCGGTATTTTTCTACTCGACACATTTTTAAAAAAAAATTATCAAATAATAAAGAAAATTTCTTCGTTTTCGTCTCATAAAATTGAAGAATATTAATGAAATTTATTCTTTTTTTTTTAATTTTTTGAAAATTATTGATAAAAAAACCGATATTTTAACTCTACTCAATTTTCATTTGCTAATAAAAAAACATTCTATATATATAATGAAATAATTTTCATTAATTATCCAGAAGGTTGCTTTTAAAATATATATAACAGCCGTAAAATATTTAATAATTCATAAAATCTTAAATATTGAGTAACATTTTTCCTCTTGAAAAATTTTTCCTTATATAAAAGTTATTTATTTCAGTACTTGGCATTTACCTGCGAAGATCAGAATCTCGTTCAAATACCAAGCGAGAGGGCTGTCTCAGATGACCCGCATGTGAATCGTCTCGAGGGCTCTGAAGTCTTCCGGTACCTGTTCGAAAATCAACAGAGAAAGTTCAGAATATAATTAAGAATCTCAATGTGAGTTAATTATTATTAATTATTATTATTTCTTTTTTAAGGAAAATGAAAAAATAGTTATTGATTTTGAAATGCATGTTTATTAAAGCCGCTTAGGGTTAAAATGTTAGATTAAGACTACATAAGTGGTAGATTATATAATTGGTGGTAGTCAGCCAAGAGGAAGTGCTACTCCTGGTTTTGTTGCTGGTAAGAGCTCAAATGAGAGCGAAGAAGATGATCCCAGGTGATCGGATCCAAATTCCGTACATGATAAGGTAAATTTTGTTCTTGCAGTGATCGTAGCAAATTGCCTCCTCCGATCTGATCTAAATTGCGCTTTTGAACCCTTGCGTCAATTGGATTTCCATTGCGCTGCCCCCATTCTGTAAAAATTAGCCGTGTTTAATTTTCTTTTATAAAGCGAAGCATTTCAATTAGAAAAAATTTTTTTAATTTAATTTTATTAATTAAAATTTTTTTTTAAGAAATGTTTAAACGTGCATTTGAAATAAACAAAATTTAATAATTAAAAAAATTATATAGATTGTAATTTTTTTTAATTTTAAAAATAAAATAAAAAAAGTTTTAATGTATTTAAAAATTACAGTTTTTAAAATTTTTTATAGCGCAAAGTCAAATGGAGTTTTTCTCTTAAAACAAAAGTACTTATAATTTTATAATTAAAGTTTGAGTAATTATAACTTTTATAAAATTTTAGTTAATTAACTTTCCACATAACAATTTAATACAAGACAAAAGCACCAATTATTGACGCTATGAAACATAATTTAAATTAAAACTTTTTTAAACACATTTAAGACTAATATTATTAAGTGTTTTTTCAATACCGCAATTCATTTTAAACTTATAAAATTTAATTATAAATAAAAAAAAATCTTGCGGTATTAATCTGGGCAACTAAATAAATTTAAAATTAAATAAAAATGTTTAGTAGTTATTATTGATCATTTAAAACACATTAATTTTATTAAGTGCTTGTGAATTTAAATTGGATGATCTAATAAATAACGAGAGTTTTTATCATTACTATCAGTAGACTGAAAAATCGTCAATCAAAAAAATGTATAATAAAAAAAAAAACGCTATAGTTAATCTTGAAACGATTTATCAAAAATAAACTCAACAACAAACAGGCATCATTACAAATAATCAAGTAATACGTACCTATTTTTATTTTTATAAAATCATGATGTAAAAGCTATTAATAATATTAGAATAGAATTAGTTAACAAGTCACAGGGTGAAGCGGATAATTAATAACAGTAACTTTTGACCAATACAACACTTAATGTCAATATGAACCCACGAAAACAGGATAATTATTTATAAAAAGACAAATGATAAATTTATGATGAATGATTCATGAAGTTTTAATGCTGCATTAATTTAAATATCTCAAAAGTACAAAAGTTATTAAAGTTATAGTCACAGTAGGTGCAGTTGTAGGTAAATGCAGCTGAAAATCATAATTATGCCTTGTACTGGAGAATTCACGGGGGATGAAATTCAAAAAAAGTAATAACATTTTTTACGAGTTAACCGCTAGACTGGTATTTACGGCGTGTTTAACCACGGAACGAGGACAGTGAAAATTATTATTGAAAATGTTAACAAGAGATAACATCTTGGCTTTCTGGAAAGGCGCGATGACGAGTCCTCAGAGATCTATATAATGTTTTTATGTTGTCATTATGTTTTTCATGATATCACGCAATTGCGGCTGTATATTTTCATAATCGCTGCTATTAATCGTTTTTTCAATAACTTTTATATTGTATTTGACCAACTGCTCTTTTATTTGAAAGTTTTAACAAAAGCTAAAAAGGAAATACCTCCTCCGATTTCAAGCGAAAATATCAAAGAGTATTATTAATTTTTTTTTTTTTTTTTTTTTTTTTTTACAGCAAAATTTCGCCCGTAAGTGAACAAACATGTGCAACAGCTTACTGGTTTATGTACACAATGTTCAGTTGGGCATGCGAGGGCGCAACTAACATTATAGGTCAGTCACGCGACGGACTCACGGCTCTCACGGAAATGATGCACTACATAAACACTCTAAGTACATATATATGATGCGAAGTTCAGGGAGGATTTTGCTCTCTTTATATCTACATCCTCAGCTTTCCAGAAAAGCATCTTCGCCGGATGAGGAGACTGTAAGCACAGTAAATCCGGCAAACAAAGTGAAATAAGCTCTGAGATGTCTTAAGCTCGGGTTATTCTTCAAGGGTTACACGTACAATATGTTTATGTACTGTTAAAGGTATGTTCAATTTTATATGATGGAAAATTTCATTTGATTAAAAATTTATCTTTACACAGGAAGAAAATTTTTTCAATGTAAAATAAATTTTCGTGGATTAAAAATATATTTGAGAGGGAAAAATTTATCTTGAATGAAGTAGAATTTTTCTGTATATCAAGTAAACTTTTTTTTTGTGTAGATTTATATAAAAAGGATTTGATAATTCTCTTACTTAAAAAAAAAATAGACGTTAAAATATGAAGATTTTTTGAAACCACATTTTAATTTTTTATGCGATATGTTCGAGTATTGTATTGCGTAACCATTAAAACGCATTAAATATTTTTTTCAAATTTAAAGAAACAGATTGAATTTTAAAGGAATTTTTTTTATATTTATATTTATCCCTAGAACTAGTTAGAATGATACTTAATGGTCTTTGACAATTTCTAAAGTGAAAAGAAACTAATCTGTCATAGGCGGACTTAATTTTTTGCGGCAGGGATTCGAATCCGCACCCGGCGTTTTCAATCTCATACCCTGTCATCTCTAATTGATTTTTTATTAGCAACAAATATTATTTGGAATTTGTGTAATATTTTAGAATTTTACAAAAATTTTTTTAAATTAATATTTTATTTTAATTCATTACAAGTATTTGAAAAATTAAGACCTAGGAGTAACAAAATTTTATTATTTTTACTGAAACAATTAATTAAGTGCAAAGTAAAAAATTTAAAAAAATGCGCGGGAAGAATTATATAAATTTAAATGAAAATTGAAAACAAATTAAATTCAGTTTTGCGAAAATGTTAAATTTATTTTACATTATATTTATATTTTCGGGGCCAATTTATCTTAAACCCGGCGTCGAAGTCGAAAGTGAAGACAATAGTGAGCTAAAATGAATAATTCATATTATGTTATTGAGAAATATGGTAAAATAAAATTACCCTGGTTTTTGTGACAAGAGGTTTTGATTGTTAAGAATTTGGATTGCCATTATGTTCTTTTGTTCGTCTGTTTTAGATAAAATGAAAGCATTATGTTAAGCGGAGGCAATGAGAAAGACTTCAGAGAATTAAAGTAGAAAGGGAGTAAAATGTCGAAGGACAAAGTTACGACGAAAGCTTTCAAAGTGTCAGCTGTTGGATTTTCGTAAATTAACAGGGAAATATTGAATTCCTGAACTGAAAGAATGAGGAGACAAGTGCAGCTGGGATTCAGATTGTGTTATCGGTATGTTCGTCCATTTATTCCACAAGAAAGCCTGACAGATTGCCCCCTAGGTAAGCACCGCTCCCATTATTTGAAAGCTTAATCCGATATAAACATCAATCGAACTTTTTTATTCTGTCTCTCACAGCGAGACTAAGCTCGATCTTCAGTGTTTACACCGTTTTGTTACACAGAAAGAAAGGTTCACTTGAGCCAAGAAAATATTTTTCTTCATAATTCATAATTATTTACTTGGGCGAAAAAAAATTTTTTTTTTGACACAAGAAATTTTACTTATTCCAACAAATCAATTCCCTCGCTTCAAGAAATACGTTTCTTGATCCAAAACAATTTTATTTAAGTCAAGAAAATTTTCTTGTCTTGAGAAAATTTTTCTCTTGCTCCAAAAAATTAAATATCTTGATAGTAAAAATTTTTATTAATATTTCTTTTGACTAACTTGTCAAATGGGAAGATCAAATAATATTGAATCATTTTTTTTCATTCAATATGTATAATTGCACGGTAAAATAATATAAAATGGGTATCAAATATTCAAGAGAAAAATTTTCTCAAGATGAGAAAATTTTTTTCTCAGCTGAAGTAGATGGCGCTGCTTCCCTAAAGTATCTAAAAATCTTGATCAAATATAAAAATTTCTTTAAGAAAAAATTACTTCCACCAAGAATAGAATTTCAAGAAAAATTTTTACTTCAGCCAAGACAACTTCGGTCTTCCTTCGGGCGACCGAAAATTTACTTGAGCCAAGAATTTTGTTCTCCAGCCAAGAAATCTTTTTGTCTGTGTAATATAAGCGGTTCTTATTTTCTCTAATACAATAATTAACTCACCCAGTGCGGCGTACGACCTTGCCAATGCCTCTGCGAGTTCCGGCGACGCATACATTCCCTCGTTTAATCCCATTGTCTCGTCATGAAGCTGCTGATAAAATGATAATTAAATTTTAATGTTATTTAGGTTGAAAATTTTTAGACCATTAGTACTAAATTTATACTGTGGCACTTTATAATTAGAGACATTAATACGGTTCACTTAAAATAATTATAAATTGAAAAAAAATTTTTTTTTCTAAGTTTGAAATCAAAATTCTGGCCAAAATATTGAAAAAATTATAAGAGATATTTTTTTGTGGGAAAATAGAAAACTTATTCATTAAAAAAAAAATTTAATTTTGAACGAACAAAATTATTTTTATAAAAATCGGTTGTGTTGTTTCATTAATTTATTTTGTTCTTGGTTTCTAAATTAATAAAAATTAATTTAGCATATATTTAATGATTTTATAACAAATAATTTATGGCAAAAAAAAATTGACATGTAGAAATTTTTTAAAATTAAAAATGCAATTTTTTAAAAATAATTTTTTGGAACAAATTTTTTTGTTAAATAAAATGAAAAAATTGTAAAGTGACTGCTAACTTTAATATCATTCTAAATTACTGATTTAAAGTTATGTTACTTCTAAACAATATTTAGAAAGAAGAATTTAATTTTAAAGAAAACATTTTTCTTAAATCAAGTAATTTATTTTTTAGTGTCCGTGTAATTGTTTTTTTTTCTTCTTTATAATTTTATTGAACTAAGACTGTGTAAATACAATGAAGCTCACTGGGCATGAATGTCAATAATTTATCGTTGTAACTTTGTGCGATAATGTTCGAACTTGTTGCAGCGAAGTTTGTATTTACTTTTAAATTACAAAATGTGGATAAATAAATAGAAAATATGTAAGACGGCGGGTGTATATGTATGATTGCGGAAATTCACGCTGGAAATTTGATCCTCTGTTACATATCAGTATGCATGGGAAAAGTTGTGTCCGTGCGGGTAAACTTGACGTGAAACACACGACATGGAAGTTAATGTTCAATGTGCATATATTTAACGCGTTATTAAATTTTCAAGGATGTCAGGACAAGGTAATTTATTGCAACATTTTCACCTTTCGGTACTACCCTCGATATTACTTTTATAGACCACACTATTTACTAATTAACTTCTCCCTGTGAGCATAATAACCATGAATACGTTACTTAATAGATAATACTTAATGAAGGAAAAAATATAATGAACATTTAATAACAAAGTTAAAATTTTTAATACAAGCAACAAGTTGAGACGCCTACATTGTAATCTTAACTATATAAACTTATTAAAATTTTCTAGAAGTTATTAAAAAAATTTAATTAAGATTTAATTTTTAATGAAATTTTATTTGATTTTAAGTGGAATAATTTAATAAGTATTTACTGGGTTCAATTTTTAAAATATTTTAATTTATAATTATTTGATAAAATTCTACAAGATTTGATTTTTGGTAGTTGAAAATTGAGGAATTTTTTGGTAAAATTTATTTTCTCATTAAAATTTAGAAAAAATTTAACTTTTTATTTTTTTTCATAAAAAAAAAAAAATAATTTTCTAATTTTTAATTTAAAATAAAATTTTCTAGTGAAAAATTGAAAAATAATTTGATTTTTTATGAAATGAAAATTGAAAAAATGTTTTTAGTAAAATGTACAATAATTAAATTTTTATAACGTTTAAATGAAAAAAATTGAAAAATAAAGCGAAAATTAAAAATAATTAAATTAAAAAATCAATAACAATTTTCATGAGTTAAAAGAAAAAAAAGTAAATTCTTAAGTTCAAATTTAAAAAAATTATACCTGAAAAAATTTTTTTAATTTTTAAGAATATTTTTCCAGAAAATTTTTTTTAGAATATTGAAAATAGTTTTTGGCCCAAAAATCGTTAATAAAATATTTAGAAAACAAAAGTAACGGAATTAATGTTTATCGGAAAAAAAAATTATTTTTGAAACAATAAAAAATTAGATAAAATAAAAAAACTTACTTGAATCGGTACCGCAAAAATGCAGGTGACTGCAGCAAGAATAAACGCCGATCCGATAAATCGTGAATTGACCATCTTCGAGATCGGAAACGAGAACTCGGGGGTGTACTTTTCTCGAGCGAGCTTGAACTTCACCTCTTAAATCGGTTAGGAGAGCGGTTAGGAGGGTGGTAGATCGAGAAACGCGTGAGAAACACAATGACTGGGGTGCGTGCTACCGTGAAATATATAGAGAGCTGAGAGCTTTCCGCGGCTTCAGGAGGGAGCGTGAAACAACCAATTGCGCGCGCACAGGTTACCTCAGTAAAAACCCTCGTAAGATATACTTGTGTTTATTATCTACATCGTACCGAGCAGAGAACCCAAAAGAAGAGAGAATACGCATTGTAGCCACGCGAGAACTTTGCACCTGACTTTTTTCCCGACATTTCAACCGTTAAGCTCCGAGAGTTACATTTTACTTTATTTGTTTTATGGTAATCGCAAATCTTGCCCGGTTTTTTATTGGATATTCAAATTAATTCGCAGATCGGTTGCGTTTTTTTAAGCTCAGTTATTTCGATTCTAATAACTTTACATCATTAATACTATTTATAATTTTATTGCTTCTTATTACAAGTTATTTTAATTGGTAATTTCTGGTTATAAAATAGCTATTAATTTAATGTTTTATAAATATCCTTTTTTTATTTTAGAGTATGAGTTAATACTTTTATTACCAAACTTACCAAAATTGTAATGAGAAATTATTTGTTATATAATGCTTGCTTGATACAATTAGGAGATAATTTTATACCAATAAAGTTATTTTAGAAAAAATCCTTTGTTTTGTTTTAATAATTTTTTCTGTTTTTGGTTTTCAAATTCTTGGATTAAGATTTTTGATTATCATATTTTCCATCGATAATTATTGACATTTGATTCAAAAATAAATTTATTTCCAATTAATACAATCAAATTTTTTAAACAATAAAAATTGTTAAAACTAAAAATTTTAGTTTTTTTTTTTTCTACCTATATTTTGGGTTCGTGTTATTTTTTTCATTTAAAATGTTATCAGCTTAATAAAAAAAAATTAAACCTGCACTAGAAAAAAAGAATATTATTATCGAGAAAAATTTATTGATAGAACATAAATTTTTCATAATTATCAATAGTATTTTTCCCTGTTTGAAAAATTTATCTAATTGCTTAAAATAATATTTATTTAATTCAAATAAAGCTATTCATCGTATATTAGTTTATTTTAATTATTCAAATTTTTTTTCCTTCCATTGGTGCACATTTAAAAAATTTAATTTTCAGGTTATTAAGTAAAAAAATTATTCAACACTTTCTTCTGATATAGAAAATTTTTTCTAACTAAAAAATTTTTTCTAAACTAAAAAATTTTTTCACATTTTTAAGTAAAAGTTAAATTTGAAAAAATCAGATAATTTTTTTTTTATAATGATAGATCAAAATTTTCATAAAAAATTTTCTTATTAATTTTTTCTATTATAGATATCATGCCCAGAATTTGACCTTTAACTTCTCGAAAGAGAATAATTAAATTTATAATTGAAAAAAAAAATTTTCTTATGATGTTTAATTTAATTTTCATCTAGAAAATAGATAAAAATTAATTGATACAATAAAATACACATTTAAATTTTCAGAAATTACGTTTTCCTTCGGGTTACCCTCCTATTCGATCATTTTTGATAGAATAGGAGGAAAGTTCACTGTTCTCATTGGTTATTATGATTCGCTTTTAGAGTTACACTACCCCCGAGACCAAAGCTTGCTTCATTGAGCGTTCACTGTAATTATAAGCGGTACTTGACAATTCTTTTAATTAATAATTACGTCACATAAAATGATAAACTATTAAAGAATAAATAAACTGGGGTAATTAATTTTTTAGAATGAATGCGCAGACTCTACTAAAGCGTGGATTTTTAATAGCACGCAATACTCAAGAGCGAGGGTAAAAAATCAAAGGGAGTTTGATTTTAAGAAGATTTACGCGTGAAAGGACATTAACCAGAGCTTTTTTAACGTCCCTCTTATAATTTCATACCCTTTATTGAGTAACTAATTATCATACAAGGGTAATTTATCTAAAAAAGTGAATAGTTATTACAAGAATTATAAGATAAGATCGGTTTTTAAAATTCACTCAACCGTTCTGTGCTGATAACATCTCGAATATTTCATTTTTATTTTATTTTCAATGGTAGTTTGATATTAAGACTGAAATACTGTTTAAGGTAACGGAATGCCTCAACCTGCACCGTTTTTACGGTGGAAACTCATTATATTGAACTATATTGCTCTGACAGTCTGTATGAGTTTAAAGCAAGTAGAGGCTCGCGATGTCACCGAGAATATTTAAATCGCGAGTTAGACCACGGACCTACAAATTATATCGAACTGAATTATAAATGTATTTTAATTCAACGGTATGTTGTTTCGAGAATATCTTTTGAAAGTGATTTTAAACCACTGAAATTATGATGAGAAGGTAAAGAAAGTACGGTATTGTACTTATCGTATCTTTGTTTCTACGGATGCATCCGAGACGAGGTTTCCGTAAGACAATCACCGAATTCTTGAAATTTTTCCTTGAATCACTAATTTGTAATTTGAAAAATAATTTTACTGTCCATAGATCATGTTCCCAAAGCAAAAAGACCCTATAAAAATTTTTTTTTGCTCCAATCAACTTAGAAATCGACGTTCTAATTGGCAAATTGTCTAACTCCATTTTAGAGAATCTTCTATTTGTATGAAAAAAATAATTAGTTCAAAATTTTTTATCACTTTAAAAAACCATTTAATATCATTATTATCTAATAGAGATATAATATTCAGGTTTAAATAATTTATAATTCGATTATGGCTACATCAAAATGTTAAAAAATCACCCTCTAAAAAATATGGAGTTAGATAAATTGCTAATTAGACCGTCGAAATGTTAGAAATATGATAATTGACAGAAAAAATGAAAATTAAACATTTTTTTTACAAAAAAAAATGTTTTTTTATTTTCTAACTTTCCGCAGTGAAAATTGAACGTTTTGAATTTCTGGCTATGAAGATTGAAAAATTTTTTTTTATTCGAAAAATTATTAAATTTGGTTATTAGATTTTCAAAAGTAGCTCTTATAGAATACTGACGTTTTGCCATCTCAAAAATTTATTTCAGAAAATTTTCAACTTTCATAGCAGCAGATGTTTTTTCTTTAAGACAAAACAGAGTGTATTTCAAAAAAGAAAATTATTTTTCCACTTCTATAACATTCCTGAGTTTGATTAGAGCATAATAAATTTTTTTATACATCTTTTTTGCTTTATATTAAGAATGCGAAATAATTTCAAAATTACGTCGAAAATGCTATGAAGTTTTTCTTCAATCCACTGGTGGGCAATTGGGCATACTATAAATTTTTTTTTTTTATATGAAATTATTCCTTAATCTGCTGATGGACATATTGAAAAATTTTTCAGAGATAACTTGCAATTTTTCTTTAATCTATTAATGAGCAATCTGTTTTTTACGACACAAAAATTGGAATTTGGACGTTTTTTCTCAACATCTGTATTAGTAGATAAAAATTTGATTTTTTTCTTAAATCACTTGCGGCTTTAAAAATCCCATCAGTGAAATCAAGACATTGCCCTTTAAAATGGCTATCAGCTTATCAAGAATCGAATCGCTGATCTCTAAGATTTTTATTTAATATTAATACACTGATGAGAATTTCAAGGATCGAATCACCGGTTTCTTGAACTATTTCGCAAATTTGCTCGTTTTTTTTTTTTTTTGTGACTAGGTTAGCTAACCATCCGTTTTCTTTCACCTCAGGTAATGAATAGCGTATATTATTAAGTATTTTCAGCAAAAGACGAGACAATAAAGGGATGTTTCAATGACGGTCACCTGAAACCGATCGGAGTATCGACTAAAACTCTTAAGGTGTCTCGCCTATCAAATAACATTAATGGATTCTTTGTCACTAGTAATATTCAGAAATAAAATTATATTTTTTACTATCAGGTCGCTCTTTCATTAAATTTAGTATATAAGCCCCGGTCCTTTTTCTCCGAAAGCACATCTTCCCAGACGGCCCAGTGATACGGGTCTTGCTCAAGATGAAGATTATCATCTTAGTAAGAGTGAATTGTGTAGAACTTGTTTATCATATTCTTATTATATTTAGAGATTTGAGTCACTAAAATCACTGCTGTAATATTCATTGAATTTAAAATTTTATCGAACATCTTTTCAGGCAATCTTGGTGATCGTGACAGAAAACGTTATCGGACGGACATATAATTCTGGACGTTGGACAAATATCATTCTGGATCCCGATTCAAGCAACGATTCCAGTGAATTGATTAGTAATCGTGACATTTCATACCCGGGGAAACGTAACGGAGCTCTGGAATCTCTAGAAGAAATGCACATCTCGCCGAGGGACTTGTATGCGCTGAGCAACCCTTGGCAGTGGTTTTGTCCTTGTGAGACTCAGTATGGAATTGTTGATCTTGGGGTCGGTCATTACCCTCAATACTTTACCAGTGCTCAATGTATTCAAAAACCTTGTCATGGAAAATTCAACCCCTGTAAAGTCATTCATTATAAGGTAACAAATTATTATCTATTATTATTAAGAGAATAAGCAAAATTTTATGGTCAGTGTATTTATATGATAAAATGGGTTTTTATGGTTAAATTTGGTATCGTTGCAAAGGTCTTGACTTGAATTTGTGCCTTTTCAAAGTTTCATATCATTCTCACCAATAGTCACTTTATGATGGTAAGTATTTAGGCTACATTCGAAAATGCTCTATCTCTAGATACATAATTAATAAGAAATGACACTGTATCTTGTGAACTATTGACATTTTTAAAGATATAAGCTTATTTCGATGTTACACTCATCAAGACCTTTCATTTGAGTACCCAGATCGATTTTTCATATATTTTATATATTTATATATATTATATATATGTATATATGAAAAATATGTAAAAATGCATGTGGGTACTCAAATGAAAGCTCTTGATGAGTATAACATCGGGATGAGCTTATATCTTTAAAAACGTCAATAGTTTAGAAAGGACAGTGCAATTTAACATAATTAAGAATTGACCTTGTGCATTGTAAACTATTGACATTTTCAAAGATATAAACTCACCCCGATATTACACTCATCGAGACCTTTCATTTGAATACCCACATCAATTTTTCATATATTTATATATATTATATATATATGTATATATGAAAAATATGTAAAAATGCATTTGGGTACTCAAATGAAAGCTCTTGATGAGTATAACATCGGGATGAGCTTATATCTTAAAAAATGTCAAAAATTAAGAACTGACTTTGCTATTTTGTCAACTATTGACATTTTTAAAGATATAAGCTTACCCCGACATTACACTCATCGAGACCTTTCATTTGAGTAGCCACATCAATTTTTCATATATTTATATATATTATATATATGTATATATGAAAAAAATGCATGTGGGTACTCAAATGAAAGCTCTTGATGAGTGTAACATCGGGATGAGTTTATATCTCTAAAAATGTCAATAGTTAAAAAAGTACAGTGCAATTTAACAAAATGCATTATTTAATAAAGCAAAATTTTATTTATTTATAGTTCACAAGTCACGGCAGTCACATAGTGACTGCAAGGTTGCTAAGTAGAACTCTTAAAAAGTATTTTTTTGGTAGAAGAACTTTTTTTCTAAATCTAGTTTTATCAAAATTAAAAAACCAATGTTTTTATTGTTTTTATGTCAAGTGAAAAGTTTTGAATTTTATAGATGCACGTCCTGAGTCCAAGAGATATAAACGACATGAATATCGACGCCGAGGAGTCGTACATCCAGCAGCCGATTCTTCCAGAATCTCTTCGCTCAAAATGGCAATTAAAACCCATAACGGTACCAGTAGCATGCGTCGCGTCTAACGAGGGAAGAAATAATTAAACAAACGAGTGCCGCATTGTGATTCATGGAATGGAATATCAAGTGAAATGATTCTAAATTGGCGAATAAAAATAACCGATAAAAAATGGTATTCCGATCTGATTACTATGCATACAAATGTTAAATTTGATATCCTTTTTTGTTTTGTTGAAATAAATTGCCGACGAAAAATAGCCACCGACGGACCAAATAACTTAATGGGAAAAAAGTAATAAATAAAAAATAAATAAATCAATAAATATGAATGTATAGATGTAGATATATATCGAAAAAAATAAAATAATAGATAAAGATGCTTTTAGAAATGATTCGTATCGTGACTATTTTAACATTTAGGAGCTAAAGAGACGACCACGTTCTACGTGCTCGGAGTTTTATGCTCTCCGATCTTGATTTCCTCTTTTGTTTTTGTTTTTTATTGATGACCGCTATTGATTTATCAATGCCGCGGTATTTCACCTGGAGTCACATTAAAAACTCATTTTTTTTCTCAATGTAGACTGATAAAAAAACCTTTTTATATAAACATTATGATCGTATACGCGGACTATTAAAAAATTGATAACAATCTATTTTATGGAGAATTCAAATTTCTACAAAAAACCTCTTATCAATTTTTCGTTATTTCTAATATTTAGCTAAAAGCTTTCATTTTTATAATTTTGCAAATATTTTTTTTTTTTTTATCAAAACAAAAAATTGTCACTATTTTTGTCTTGAATATAGAAAATTTTATTTATTTATTTATTCATTTATTCAAACTGTTAAAATTTAATTAAAAATTAAATTAATTTCATTTACTTTATAACTTTAACATAGTAACAGTATAGAAACAATATTTCTGAGAGTAATTATTACAAAAAAAAAATTTTTTTAAATTAGCTCAATTTTTAAACAGAGACTTAAATTTATTGCAAAAAAAAATATTTTTAATTTTTAAATTAGTTTAATTAAATTTTTTTTTCTTATAGCTTAAAACTAAAAATATAAAAGCTCCAAAAAAATTAACAAGGATATTTTTCATAGAGAATAAAATTCTCTAAACAAATTGTCTCTTGCAATTTTTTGTATCCTCAATCCTGAACCCGCAATTTTAGTTTCAAGCTTCCGCAAAAAATTTCTACCATACCAAAATTTTTTCACCCCTATCGCAATCGTCCTACACGACCAAGGTACTCGTCATAAATTTACCTCCGAACAATAAACTCGCGCGTTGCAATATTAAACGTGGGAGTTGTTCTGTGCGTATGTACCTTCCATTAATAGAGTGTGAGTAAATATTTGGACTGCGATAACGGTTTTTAAAAGCCCTCGATAACGTTTTGAATTGATACACAACATATCATAAAGTAAGAGTGCTCTTGGTACTTAATAGACCACGAGAAAGCCACTTTACCTGGTTATTTGTTTAGTATTGTTAGTTTTTATGCTGCCTCAAGTGCGCTTTTACAACTTTTTAAAAGCCACTCGTCCATCGATTGCCGTAAAAAAATTTATGTAAAAACAATTCCCGATTTTTTAAATTAAATTTTAAAGAGTTTAGTTTTAAATAGAATGCATGCACAGATAAAAAAAAAAAAAAAAACCAGCGAAGTAAAGCAAATTGAATGTAAATAAATATAATGGTCGTAGGCGTAAGCAATTGAAGCTTCATAGACGATAAATTTCGCGCTCGTATGAAGTAATAAATATGACAACTGATTAAACGGAAGCTTTATATCAATTATCAGCCGGTTGACTTGTTCGTGAAACAGCGAGCCGAGATATTCAGAGAGATTTATCGAGTGAAAATTTATAATTGTTATTTTAGTGGATTAGTTTTATTTAGAAAGAGCCTTGGGTTTTTGAAAACAAAATTTAAAATGAGTTAAATGATTTGAAAAAAATTTGTTTTCAAAAATATGTAGATATACATTTTGCATTTAAGTAATATTTTGAAATTTTTTATAATTTAATTAACTTTGATAGATTTTTATTATTTTTTTAAATTGCACACAAATATTCGGAGAAATAATTTGAGAATTTAAATAATTATTTATACTTAAATATAGCTAATTAAATTGATCGGAAAATTCAAGAAAAATAATTATTTTTGATTAATTTTTAATACATTAAAAAATAAAAATTTATTTTCAATCGGTAATTTTTCACAAATTAATACCCGGAATAAAAAAAATATTTGATTAATTTTAAATTATTCTATTTAATTATAAAAAAAAATGTTCTTACTTTCTATAATAAATTGAAATTTTTTAGATTATACATAAGAAGGAAAAAATTATTTAAATTAAAAAAAAAATATATGTTAAAATGAAAGTCAAAATTTTGTTAAAACTTATAAAAAATTACAATTTTTTCCACATATTTATATTTATATTCATATTTAAATTCAAACTTATATTTTTGATCTCTTCAGTTCTATAATCTAGAGTCATTAAATTAATTACTTTGATGGACTTTGCTTCGAGACAACGCTATTTATTCTTACTATATTATTATAATTTCCATTACTGTTTATAACTTTTATTATTATTATTATTATTATTATTATTATGTATTAATATATATGCAAGGCCCTTAGGGAGCTAAGGCTTCAGGGTTTAAAAATTTTGAAAAATAAATCAATAAATAAATACAGCAATTATTTTGTTAAAACAATTAGAAATCTTTAATTTACAATTTTGAAAAAAAGAAACACAAAACTGTCAATTTTGTTCACACGAAAATTTTGCGCACCTAGTTACAATTTTGAAACAAAGCGCTGGTAACCCTTACGGCAGTGGGCGATGATGTCGGCGTAATTGTAGAGTTCCAGGCTCTTGGCGACGTGGGGGATGTCCAAACGGGTACAATTGCTGGCGTAGTCGTAGGGCATAAGGTCCCATTTGGAAAAGCATTCCGTGGAAACTTGGTCGGTTCCGAGATAGTCCATCCACCGGAAATACTCCACCAGGGTGACTCCAGGAATTAATTAAAATTGGTTCGGGTGGAGGCAGCTGCGCACCGAAAAAGTTCCTCCAAACTAAGTCTGTACATTCTGGACATAATGTTGTCAGACTACTTGATCGTTTCAAAGTCCACCGTCAAAATCTGATTGGAGGTCGTCAAGAGCTTCACTTTCTTGGCCATTTTGTTGAGTTTAAGAGAACAAACTTTCAGGAGGTCAAATTTTCAGGAACTTATAGCGTGTGCTCTACTTTGAGGTATCAAGCTCGACTGAATCAAAAGTCTTCATGAATTGTCGCAGCAATGCTATGAATTTTTTGAAACTGTAGAAAAGAAATCGCCTATGGATTAAAATAGTAAGAAATTGTAGTTTGTTTTGTAATTGGTGGAAGAATCTTCAAGGCTGAAGTTGAAATTCTATATTGTTATGGGCCATAATTATAGAGTATGTAAGATTAAGATTATGGAATAGTATTTTTATATTGAGGCATCGGTTTAAATGAATGAATAGAAGTCTAGCTCTTTTCTGAAAATTAATTGATTCCAAGAAAAGTGGCTTATTGAAGAAAAATTAAAGATAGTGAAAAGATATTAACAAATTTAACATAAAAAAATACTATTCTTCTAAATTACCAATAATTTCGTTTTATTTTAAGAATTGATAAAATTTTATATTTTAATACTAAATATTTTTATTTTATTTAATTTTTTTTTTTATTTAATATATTTTAATATTCAATATTTTATATTGAAATAGCAAAAGGAACTTGAAAGTAAATAACAATATTTAACTTCCCACTGGGAAAATTAATTATTTAAAAAAATTACGAAGTTATTGGCTTTACGCCAATTTTTAAATATCGAGTTCTCATCAGATCTTCACGCTATGAGGTCCTATAGGATGCTTTTTTGATTATTCTTGATTTGCTTTTTTGATTTGTTAGAATCATTTTACTTTAAATTAATTATAAAGTCATATTTGTCTGAAAATTCTAATTCCTTATGAAATTTATAATCAGCGTGCATCGTTCCCTCGAATTTTCTAATTTTCTAATTTTCTAAGTCTGAAAAAATTCACAAGAAAAAATAACAACTAAATAAATTAATTTTGTACTGTGTTACAAACTCTGTAAAAAATACATTTTTAAACCGTAAAAATGAATACAGAATTATATTTTAATAAAATCTTACTCGAAATTTATTGTAATTCCTACACGGAGAGAAATTTATAGGAATCTTTCCAACAATTATGGGAATGGATCCTATAATAAAATTATCATTATAGCCATTAATCCTGTACTCATTATGGGAACAATACCCATAATTTATTGGAAACGTTCCTATACAATAATGGAATAGCTTCAATATATTATGGGAATGGCGCACATAATAATAGAAAAAAATTTAATAATAATAAATATTATTACTGATAACTTTTTTTATCAATTTATATATTATAAAAAAAAATCACTTAATCAAAAAAAAATAAATCTAGTGAAAAGTAATTAATTCAATACCACAGTTGTGTAAAAAAAAAATTACTTCAATATTATTGGCATCATTCCTATAATATTATGGAAACTATTCCTATAATATTATGGGAACCATTCCTATATATTATGGGAATCATGCCGATATTACAGTTATAATTATAGGTATCGTTCCTATAATTATAGGAACCATTCCCATAATCATAGTAACGTTTCCCAAAAATTATGGGTATAATTCCCATAATTTAAGTAATCGCTCCTAAAATGGTACAGGAAAATATTTCATTAAAATTATAGGAATGATTTCCACATTTTTCTCTCCGTGTAGTTTTAAAATATATCCTTTAAAATTCTTGAAAATTTTATTCTGAAACTAATTTTTATGAAATAATGGTTCTGTTTTAATTCATTATCTTCTATAAAATCTAATTATTATTAAATCAAAAATTCGAGACCCAAATCATCGATATGTCCCGTTGTCTCCAATATATGTTAACTTAATAATTTGTTGTCACAACTTATCTTACACTGTACAAACAAAAATTTTTGAGCGTGTACAGGGCA